AAAAAAAAAAAAAAGAAAAAAAAGTGAACATACACTAGGAAACCGATATTGCTAGGTATACACCGGAGCAGCAATTACAACTTACTTTAAGTAAAACTGAAGTTCCTAAGTTACATCCGAGCCAACATATCAAAAAAAGGGAAATGCTAAGGTCCCGTTACGGAGTCATTCCGTCGGGATTTTTAACCGTTAGATCATCATGTAACCGTCAAAGATAGTTGATCTAACGGCTACAAATCTCGACGGAATGGTTCCGTAACGGGATCGTAGAATCTTCCTAAAAAAACATGCAGATGAGTTCTAACCAATCAAAAAGAACATTTATGTACAGTGTATGATGGCAGATAAATAGTCACTTTTAGCACTTGAGCCAAACGTGATAAGCACTCGAATGCATAACATTGCATAAGAAAAACATAGCTAAGAAGGATCATTATCATTTTCCCTTCTCTGAAGAAAATGCGAAGCACAGGAAAACAAAAAGTTAAAGCAACATTTATTTTTTTACCAAATTAGCAGCAGTATTGAATAAAATCAGATAAATAACAATTTTATTTTTATTTTTTATTTTTTTGCCAAATTTAGTTGATTTCATTCCCTCCTTCTACAAATTCAAATCGTAAAACAAAAACAGCAAAACTAATCAACAGAAACTCGTACTAACAATCCAAACACCATCTCCATTATACCTAAAGCAAATCACCCAAAAACAAAATCGAACACCACGCAACCTCGAAGCTAATTAACTAAAATGTAGCTCAAACGAATCAAATACACATCATATTCGAAGGCAAACAGCAAGCATAACACAGCAAACAGCAAACATAACACACATTAACACGTATATAATCGTCTGTGAACCTAATGCAACTGAGATTTGACCTTCACCTTTCCGGCGACCGGGACTGATTCCATATCGACGGTGACGGAGTGGCCGGAGTCCGCCATTGCTCGCCCTTCCCCTCTCTGAAGGTCGCCCTTGTACCAGTGAGAATTAATGGCATCCAAAGCTCTCAGCAAAATATGAGTAAATTTTTTAATATTATTATTTTTTATTTTTTTATTTGTCTCTCTTGACAAATGCATATTGTAAACGCGTGTGTATATATAAATGCCGAGTTGAGTAACTGAGTCTCAGTGCGGCACCGAGTCACCGACGATTTTGGGCTTTCTGGAGCAAGTTAAGTAGGCCCAACGGCCCAATTTTTAGTACCGTGGTTAAATTTTAACTATGGTTAGGGACCGACACAATTTCGACCTCGTCGATGTAGCAAATTTCCAAAATTGTCCCCGCTTTTGAGGTGTGGATGCTGCATGAGGGACTTTTGCTTGGCAGTATTTAATTAGTTTTATTAAATTATGAACAACTAATTAAGAGGATTTTTAGGTTCAAAAGTGTCTACAAAGGTGTTATTAATAAATATTAATGTCCATGGAAATAAAAAGCATACGAGTGAGAGACATAGAAAAAAGAAATATGTCTTAGAATTATTTGGATTGATTAAAAGTGCTAATTATAAACGAGTCAATTCAATTCGAACTCGTATTTGTTTAATAAACGAGTCAATTCAATTCGGCTAATTTAAATTAGGTCTAGTCTTTTTAACATATTCAAAATTATAAAAAAATTGTTTATGAACATATTTATTATGTTGTTCGTTCAAAACCTATAAAAGAAATGGTGAAATAAGAACGAGTTAGAATTTTGTATGTGCTCGCGAACTACCCGATTCAAAAATAATTCTAAACATAACTTTCCTAGATAAGTAAAATGTCTCTAATATTTACATACCACAAGAATAATAAAGGAATTATTAATTCTTGAGAAAACTACTCTTAAAATATATCAAATCCCAATTATAAGAACAGTGATCACGAGTGGGGCTGTAAACGAATCGAGCGTCTCGTGAGTGCTCGAGCCAAAGCTCGACTTGAGCTCGAGTTGAGCTTGAGCCCATATTTTGCCTTGTCGAGCGGCTCTTCGAGCGACCGAGATACGCGTTAAATTACTAAAGTGCCCCTATTATATAAATTAGCATAGGTGTTTAATGGTAATTTTACCTTTCCACTTAAAAAATTTTCGAGCCGATCTCGAGCATTTTGATTTCGATTCGAGCTCAATCTATTGTAATTTTTTATCGAGTCAAGCTCGAGCATCTAAAAAAAAAAATCACTCAATACTGCTCGATAAAACTAATGCTCGACTCGACCAGACTCAGCTCGTTTGTAGCCCCTAAATTCACGAGTGACAAATTTTTTAGTTTCCATAATTCTGTTAGTTAAGCTTTTGTAATCAGTTTTATTTGCTTCCACAAGGCAAATTAATTAATTAATTAATTAATACCTGGCTAGCTAGCTAGCTAGTCTTCCTGCCTTTAATCAATTTTTTATCATGAAAAATTTAATTACCCGAAAAATAATACACTGCATACAACAATGCAAATTTGTTTTGTACATGTACGTTAAGATTTATCAGTATTTTCAAATTTTAATCAATTTAGTTATGGTACGGGTAAGATTTTATTTTTATTATACACGATTTGCTACGGATTTTATAGGTGCTTTATGTTGTTATTTAAATGACTAGTATTTCATTACCATTATAATTAATTATTATTATTAAATAAAGTTATTGTTTCAATTTATTTATTTTTTTCTTTTTTAACTAAACGTAGCCATGTAGATAGATATAAGTGGTGTACTTGGTTGTAGATAATTAATTAAAAAATATATACCTATATACTACTAAATTAATTTCACGAAATTAATTTTGATAAATAACTGACAAGAAAGAGGTGTTGATATATCATTGGAAATCTTCAAAGGTAGAAATATATGCCTTTGCTTTTTGTGTTTTTATTAATTTTGCATCTGGCTTTTGCTTTACGAACGCCTAAATCCAGTTCACTAAAACACTTAATGAATAATAAATAGTTATGTTTTACGGTTAAATCTTCACTTAAAGTCTTAAATAGTGTTATTTTTTATTACTTTATCTTATTTTTAACAAGAGATTCAAGATTAATGGTCCAGGTGTTGGCTTAAAGGTTTAAACTTTGCTCAAGACTAAGGCTGCAAACGAGCCGAGCTGAGTCGAGCATTAACCTTATCAAGCAGGATTGAGTTTTTTTCTTTAGTTGCTCGAGCTCGAGCTCGTGGAACTTGATTTTTTAGACTCGAGCTCGACTCGTTAAAAAATTACAATAGCTCGAGCTCGACTCGAAATCAAAATGCTCGAGTTCGGCTTGAGTTTGGCTCGAAAATTAAGTAAAATTAACATTAAGCACCTATGCTAATATATATAATAAGGAGTATTTTAGTAATTAACGTATGTCTCGAGCCGCTCGACAAGGCAAAATATGCGCTCGAGCTCGACTCGAGTTTGTGCTCGAGCCGCTCGAGCTCGACTCAAGTTCAGTCAAACTCGAGCTCGAGTCAAGCTTTGATTCGAGCGCTTGCGAACCGCTCGTGAGCCGCTGGACTCGTTTGCAGCTCTACTCAAGACTCAAACACCACTCGACGTAATTTCTTTGCTGTTAATCCTTTTGAGGTAAAATATAATCTAAAATGTTTAAGTGCAAGTGTAGAAAAATAAAAAATAAAAATAAAGCAGCATTAATTTTCAGTTGAAATTTTATAAGAGTTACATTTAAGAAGAGGGACCCTTTTTCCATGTCAAGTTGGTTCATATTTCTTGCGTAGTACTAATTCATAACCCTTTTCCCCTCATATTTCCCTTTAAACATCACAAATGTAGCAAGAAAATTATTGGTCACAGAAAAGGAAAAATATTTTTTTAAAAAAAACAATAAAGAAAATAAGCGACACTAGTAAGTAGTAAGACTTGTTCTCAAATATTATATTTTCTAAAATTCATGTTAAATAAGTGGGCATGATAAATTAAACTGATAAATAGTTTTATTAGTATTCAATTAATATTTGTATATAATTTAATATATACTATAAATATAATCTTTTATTAATTTATGTATGCAATACGGATGCAAAACTAATTTAATCAAAAATATGATAAATTTTATACCATATAAAATAAATATAAAAGTTTTTTAACTTTTAAAATATATTTATATTTAAGTTAATATAATGTTTTATACTTCCAAAGTCCTAATGTGGATGGATAGAAGATCAAATCTATGTGAACTTTTGAAACACTTAATTGACATACAAACTTACAAAACACCACAAATTGTCAGACAAAAAAAAA